ACTCCTACAAAGCTTGGGCCAAGTCAGTATTTTGAGCATCTCAATGTTGGACATTATTATGTAAGGAAAGGCTACTTTAGGCACTTTTAGAGATTTCTAAAATGTATTGGTGTCTCTGGCCATTTAAGTGGTGTTCAAGATCCAGCTCTGGCCCTGTTTCAGGTTCAGTCCAAAATCAAGGTATTCTGGGGTTTATTGTTATAGCAGGGGAACGATAGGTTGGGAAGCAATGCATACTGGGAAGAATGACAGAGATATATGATTTTGCCATTTCAGAGAGAGAATGGAAGGTAATAGGGCAAGCTGTTGGGTCTATCCAGACAAGGTGCCGGGTGGAAAGAGCTGAAAAGAGTCTTATAAAAATCAAAGAGTTGGGTAAAGTACCCTGAGGAAAGGTTGGTGTTGTGGGCTAGAAAGCCAGAGGCTCGGTGGGAGGGTAGAGAAAGACCTTAAAAGATTAGGTGATCCTCTTAAGAAATTCACTGCTTGTGGTTTTCCACCAAAAGACTGTGAAAAATCCAAATAGTAAAGGTTGATTGGGAGTCCGTGCATGGAAGGGTGGTGATTTGTCTTGGTGAAGGACAGTGAGCCCCTGCACCAACAAGTGGAGGTTTAAAGGACTTCTTTTGGAATTTTATTTTGTTGGACATTTGTTGCTTCAGAAGGGATGGAGTATATTTAGTTAAGTCAGAAATCTAGTCTACTCTACAAAGGAAGGGGGAAACTGAGGTAGTAGCTACATTTGCTACTGAAGAGGAAAGCCACTGCTACAGTTATTTACCAGTTTCCTCTTGCTTGGTGTCCTGTACAGTAGGACTCATGGTACTAAGTCAATGATCGAATGGAATAATTTTTAAAAAATAGTATCATACTACTTTTAAAACTGTAAAACATCTAAAATAGTTTTCCATTAAAACATGTGGGATAAACAGAATACATGAGGGGATGATGTGCTACTGTAAAGGTTAGACTAGTACTCATGGTTTTGCCTCTTCTGATTAATGTGGTTAAAACCTAGTTTGGCTCTGTCTACACAGGCAAGGGCAAATAGTATTCTCACATGGCTGGGAGATTTCCATGTCAGAATGTTACCTCAAAGAGAGTCATATTGCCTTTCTAGCTGTCATTCTTATATCAGATTTATATTTCCTTTTGTCATGGCAACACCCCATTCCCTTACCACTGAAAGCTAATTTCATGTAAATTACCCAGGAGAATTGTGTTGCTTTGTTTCCAATGAAATAGCAACAAAAGTCAACCTTGTGTGGGGCATAAGTCATTCAGAACAGGGACTTCAGTGTTGTGATTTCTTAAACTGCCTTAATTGCACATGCCCCGTTCTTCAGGTTTTAATGTGTTTGCTTCACAGAGACAAAGCACACAGTAACTTATCTTACAGCACCAGCCGAGTGTACTTCATTTGTGCTGTATCTCACTGTCTTTGTATTCAGATAAGCCTTATTAGTTCTGAGATATCTAGGTTTGTGCAGAAGCTTGAAGCAAACTAAATTAATAAAATTCAGGAGAGTGGTTTTCAAATGAATCTTGAAAGCAAATCAGAATAGGAATCAGGCTCACAAATATGCAGAGACAATTCTGAAAGGATACATTACCTTCTGTTGCTGATTTTCAGATGTATATTGTCCTCTGTCTTATTACAGAACATATCAGCATTTCGCAGCTCTAGCATTCTATAAACCGAACATTACACGGTTTGAGGATCTTGTTTTTACAAGCAAGGCTATAAGATTCCTTTAGTGTCAGAATGTCACCCAATGTGATGTGTGTATGGTGGTTTTGTTTTGTGTTGGACAGCTGTGGAAGTGCAGATTTTAACTTGACAGGAAAAGATAATGAAAAACAATTAGAGAAACTTCTGGAAAAAGGGGCATCTGTGAAGATGCACATTAGAATGTAAGGGGGATGAATGTACTGAGTTCATACCCAACGCTGAACAGAGAATATGAACTCTGTGGGGTTTGGTTGTATCAATTATCTGTTGCCTCCTTAATCTATAAAACCTTTTTCTGAATCTGTCAAAACAATTGATAAAGGAGAACCAGGTAACGTATTTTATTTGGACTTTCACGAGTCTTTGTCAAAGCCTGTCACTCAAAGTTGTTTTAAAAAAATTGCGTAGTCATAGGCTGAGAAACTGGCTAAAACACAAAGCAAAAATTAGGAATAAATGGTCAGCTTTCATCATGGTAGATTAGCACCAGGTTACCACAAGGTTTCATGCTAGGGCTGGTGTTTAACATTATTAATTATATGAAAAAGGAGGCAAAGGTATGAAAATTGCAGAAGATAAAATTATTCCAGTTAGTCAAGATTAAAGAAAACTGAGAGAAACTTAAGAGGTATGTAACAAAGACAGATGAATAGGCAACATGATGAATGCTGACAAATGCAAGATAATGCACACTGGAAGGAATAATTTGAACTACTCATACTGTTTACTGGGTTCTAAACTAACTAACAAAGGAAAAGACCTGGGCATCATAGGGAACAGCTGAATGAAGACTACTGCTCAACATGGAATCACAGAAAAGCAAACAGAAGTTTAAATTGCAGAAAGAACAGGATGGAAAATAAGGTGCTCAATAGGCAAAAGACCCACCCCCATGGAGTGTATTTAGGGCACTCAGCGTCTCACAGAAAGTGTTCAACATTTCAGTGGTTTGGCCCTCAACTTACCAGTCTTTGTCCATGGCTTTTATTATGCATTTTAGGATGCGAAGTTAGACAGCAAGTCTGTATAGTATTTCTTTTAGACCCTGACACAACAAACTGTAATAGTACATACTTAATCCCTGGGCTATCTAAATGTACTGGAGCAGGTGGTGTCATGCACCAACATGATCAGAGGGTTTTATGAAATTAAAAAAAAATGCAAAATATTTAAAGTAGCATTTAAAGATCTCTCACAAACCCATGCATACTGCAGGGTCTCTGTACATTGAAGGGGTCAGCCTCTACTCTGAATGTCCTGCTTTTTGACAGTCAAGATTAAAATCTGGACTGAGCCTCATTCACATGCAAATCTCCCTTGCCCCACACAGATGGGGGAGTCAGTTGCATAGGCAGTGGCATTCTAGCCCTAGTGAATTGCCTAGGCAGCACCAGATTTCACAATTGTGATCCATGCACAACAAGAGGAGGGGAGTAGCAGGCTTGGAACCAGGGAGTGGTTGGAGTCCATGTAGGTCGAGAGGGGCCACATCATCCTCTCATCAGCTCTGTGGAAACTATCCAGAAAAGGTAATGCAACCTAAACTTGGAAGGCTTTTGTTGTGACAGAACTCTTTTACAGCAGGGGGTCTCAAAGTCCCGGCCCGCGGATCATCTGCAGCCCAAGAACCTCCCCACTAAGGAGAGATGCATGCAGCCATGCTGCCAGATCTATCTGCTGCAGGCGCTGCCCCCTGCAGCTCCCATTGGCTGGGGGAGAGGGACAGAGATACCATCATTAGTTGCCATGCAGAGTCAGCCACGGAGGCAGCCTCACTTTTTTCCACAAGGAATATAAACAAGTCAAAATACCAAACACAACTATCTGATGCACACCTTGCTGCAATCCTGAAGGATTCAACTGCTCAGTCACTGAGGCCAAACATCAACAAACTGACAGAACTGAAGCATTGCCAGGTGTCTGGCAAACACTAAAAACTCTCTGGAAGGTGAAGACTGTATAAAGTTGTATGACAGTTTTATTATTTCCAAGAAATTTGAAATAAAAAATACAATATAAACATTTTCTTTTCTGAACACCATCTTCAGTGACGTTATTGGCCCACTGGGAAGATTTGAGGACTGGCCATGTCCCTAAGGTAAATTGAGTTTGAGACCCCTGTTTTATGGGACGCAACTTACTCAGAGACTTTAAGGCCAGAAGGGACCCTCCTGATCATCTAGTCTGACCTCCTGCACATGGCAGGCCAATGAACCTCATCCACCCATTCCTGTAATAGGCCCATAACCTCTGGCTGAGTTACTGAAGTCCTCAAATCGTGGTTCAAAGACTTCAAGTTACAGAGAATCCACCATTTACCCTAGTTTAAACCCGCAAGTAATCCGTCTCTCATGCTGCAGAGGAAGATGAAAAACCCCAGGGACTTTGCCAATCTGACCTGGGAGAAAAATTCTTCCAATCCCAAATAGACCCTGAACATGTAGATGAGACTCACCAGCCAGACACCTAGGAAATAATTCTCTGTAGTAATTCAGAGCCCTCCCCAGCTGGAATCCCATCTCCAGTCACTGGAGATATTTGCTAATAGCAGTCTTCAACCCCCTCCAAGCTACCTGAGCAAACACCCGTGCTAGGAAAGGAAGTGGCTTCATTGCTCTGTTGACTATCCTAATCTCATCCTTCTATGCAGCATTACTGGTTACAGGCATTAGTAGTTTATGTAATGTTGTGTATTCAGAATTCATCCTACCTTCTGAATATATTAATAATGCCCAGTTAGTTGTGTGTATCTAGAGAGCCTACACAGACTTGTTACTAAGCCTGTCTTTGCAGATATGTCACTCTGAAAGATTGGGGATATTTTGGGGCCCTGAAGGAAATGCATTGTTGAAAAATTGGATTGTGTATAATATTTTACTATACAAAGCAAAACTCCAATTTCAAAATTCAGCTGCATCAAAACTATGGAAAAACAACATTAGCAATCAAGTAAAATAAATGGGAGCTTCACAGTGAGATTCTAGTTGAAATAATTAGCTGAATTTTTACTGTATCTGGTTAATTAAATCCCCATTCAGCAATTGCACTGAAGTACTAAAAAAAACAAACTGCATGAAGCCATCCATCTAATTAAATCATGTTCCTAACAGTGTTTAATTCCAAAGAGGTTTGCCATTTATTTGATACACTACCATCCAAAACATGATAAGATTACAAGTCAGGGTTGGTTATTTTACTTCCAGTGTCAATTATATCATCTAGTCAAAGCATGGACAGGTTAATGACTCTCTTTCTTTCTGCTTCACAGAACCTGAAGCGTGTGGCGGAGACATGGATGGATGAGTTTGCAGAGTATGTTTACCAGCGGCGGCCTGAGTACAGGCATCTCTCAACAGGAGATATCTCAGCCCAGAAGGAGCTACGCAAGCACCTTAAATGCAAGGACTTCAAGTGGTTCATGGCTGCAGTGGCATGGGATGTCCCTAAATATTACCCTCCTGTGGAGCCCCCACCTGCTGCCTGGGGGGAGGTAAGGAATACCCAAGCTAGACCAAATTTAACAGCATGTTCCATCTTGATTGCAAAGCAATTTGGTATAACACTGAATTTCATATAAAGTTACTGAAACTTTTTACATTATAACAAAGCCCTTATGAAATGAGATTTAGCCCCTATTACTAGTGGTATCATTAAGAGAGCTTGTAGTGATTGGAATGATCTATGAAACAGCCACTAAAGTAAGAAACTGACATGTCTGGTGATGTCTATGGCTGTTCCTGGTATAATCCCTTATAATCTTCTGTGCACCATGATGTGCATGCGCAACAAGGACAGGAGATTCAGAAGGAACAGATAGTCATTACAGCATATTACAGGATGGCTTTGAGAATCTGATTTTTAGCAAGGGAGGCTTGAGGTCAGTGCACATTTTTATATGTGTAATTACAAATTGTATGCATAAATTAGGTATTAGTTAGGTACCTATAGTGTGTTGTCTGGTCAGATTTGCACATGCAAATATAAATATGCAAAAATGAGTGGGGTTCTTTTCCTAAAATATTGCTCCATCTTGCCTCAATCTATGATCTGATTGCAAGTTGGCTTTGGTTAGTGGTATCACAGCTGAAATTTAAACAAGAAGGAAATAAGGAGTCATACTCTAATATTATCATGTCATGCTGGGGTATGTGTCAGCAGGTTGCTGGTGCACTTCTCAGATGCATTCTGCCTTCAGATTTATTCCTTTTATATCAATAGCCTAATAATGCACACCTTGTGGTGACAGGTTGTATTAGAAATAAATAAATACACATAGGCTGTAGAAAAGGCATATAATTTGTGTGTCTTTTTGGAAAAATTGCACTGGCCTTTTACATCTTCCATCTTAAAGGAGAGCTGCAAAAGATATTTTTCTTTTTAATTATGATTTGTAAAGAAGGGTTGACTTTTTAACATATTTTTCTGTCTTTTTTAATAACTTTAGAAGTATCAGTTATGTCAATTCTAGTCTTCCCTGGTTTTGCTAGAGGGATTGGGGCTCTCAGATTATAAGATTTTACACATGAATTGAAGGAATGAAGGTGTTTAAATTGGAACAAAGTTTTTTTGTGAGGATGCCTGTTATGCCAGGATAGTCTCCGGGGGGGAGATCCAGACAGTTTTTGGTCCCTTTCTCTTGAGAACATTTTAAACTAAACCAATTTTTTTTACATCTTGTAGCAGGACTTTAAAAATAACCTTTCGGATTACAGTCCCTTGGGCCTTTGCACTCTTATTTTAGCCCCCAGCTACAGTACCTCAAAGTACTTCATGGTGCCAGTGCCTTGATATATGCAAACTCCTGACACAGTGAATTCCCTCATTTTTGTTTTTTCTCATTAACATTTTGTTTCATAAACTTCATGTGAACTGGTTATACCCAGAGGCAATAGAAAATTAACAGAAGAAGTCAGGAAAGACCAAAGATCAATAACTCCTCCATGTCCCTCCATCAACACCCACACTCAGACACACCTCTGCAACTGCAGGACTTTGAACATGTGATATATACCTACCTTGCCCAATTGTACAATCCTCACTCAATGCTCCAGAGAGGCAAAAAGGACCATATCCAGACCTTTGAGATTCAGATATTCATGCTTTACACAGAATTATTAATACACATCTTACATGATACACTGTCTGGAGTGGCTCACGACTGTGCATGCCAAGCTCAGGGCAGACTGTCAAAAAACAGGGTAGACACCCCAAACTGGTGGTATGTTCTATCATTAAATTTCGCCAACCCAGTAATTAATGTCAACTCCTGAATCACTATAGCAGTCTTACCATGGAGTTACAGACAGACCCCTTAGGCTCTCTAGTCTATCTTGCCACCCAGGCATGCTGGACTTAGTGATAAATGGTCACTTACATGAAAAATCACAAAATATTCTGGTTGCTCCAAGACCAGTCACTTACCCCAGATCTTGGAACTTGGATCTCATACCAAAGACCATGCTGGTAGCCAACTCTAGAGTAAACTAACTAAGGATTTATTAACTAGGAAAAAGAAATGAGAATTATTTATAGTTTACAGCAAAAAAATAAGTTTCAGTCTACATTTCAAATGGTGACAGTTATAGTAATCTGTAAAATCTAAATGTCTTTCAGGGCTAACTCTTGCCAAGCAGAATGGGGAACTCTTTGCTTATGTTTAGGAATCTTTGCCCCTCAGAATCCAGACATGGAAGAAAGATTCAGTTTCTCCTGTCAGGGATTTTTATCCTTTCCACTCCAGAGTCCAAAGTTATGGGCTGAGTTATGCATTGGTCTCTCCTTCCTGGAAGGATTTAGGAAATGCAATCACAACGTCTTTTTTCTTTTGATGCTACACAATACGTCATTTGCCTTCAGTAGGCCATGGACAAGCACTTTACCTTAATCAATGCTTCTTTTCCTGTTTGGTGAGTTACACAGTTACAGAGGATTATGGTGCAAACACTCAGTATAACTTTATACCATGGGCTGTAGAGATTATAAGTGAGATAAATACGTGCAGCATTCTACCAGCATTTCATAAAATCTAAACACATCTTTATCAACTTAACATCTAATATCTATTTTGATAATACTACCGCACAGTAAGCAAGACTGGATTCCAACTATGCATTTGTGAGTATTCAGTGAGGGCCTTGGCATGAGCTGGCACCTGGTCTGCCAGCGTCACAATGATATTAAGGTGTTTTTAAAATGAATCATAGGACTGTATTATATGTATCTATTTTTTCTATTAAAAATACCTCCAGACACCAAAGAATGGAACTGAGAACCAAAGGCTCTCCCATCCCCCTAAAAATATGTTCCATCTGTAAACTAACCTAAGCTGAAGTTTTTTTCCCTGCTACTCTAGATTTTTTGAGACTTTCCCATTCCTGTAAAGTTTTAATTAATTCATCAGCACTTTCAGAGACTTTGAGCAAACTTAAAGGCAACGGCTGTTATAATTAGAAATTGAAAGGAGGAAAACAGACTGATCCTTATAACTTTAGAAGAATCGAGCAGCCAGAAAAACCTCACTGGATGTGCACATCAAGAATCTTTTACGGGACATCTGTGCCAAGATGGACTGTCATTCACTGCCTTCTCCCCTTGCACTTGGAAAGGATTTACAGCTGTTTGCCTGTGCCAGTGTGAGACAGGGTAAACAATGAAGTCCTCAGACAATCTCTGGCTCCAACATCTTACCTAACTAGTGAATGCTGTGTGCAGCCTTCTTTTTGCAACTTCTGCCTTCTTTTTGCAAACACATCTGCTGGGAATTTGACTGGTAAATGTCTTGGCAAACTCTATTCATGATAGAAAAGAAGTAAATTAAACCAACTCCTTATCACCCTTGATGTTGCCTGATCTTTGGGAATTAATTGTGCCACTGTCCTATGTATGTGCTCCATCTGGTATTGTGCTCTGAAATGCATGCAAAATGGCAGTTGTATAATGGACATGGCAGAGACTTAGTATATACTGAGTATATTACTATTAGTTTTGTATCTGGGCAGGAGGACAATACCATTTTTACTGCTACCATGGTAAAAATGCAAATTAAAAGAACTTAGTTCGATCCTTGTGATTATGTCCTGGATTGCCAAGTATGTGCTACCAGTTGAAGTGTATGTCTACTATCCATTAAATGGGGCATAAACACTCCTTTTTCTTAAAAGAAATTTAATTTCACGCAGTGCTGGTACTTGAAGTCTTGTCCAATGAAGTAAAAAATGGTGCTGGGGTGGGTGAGATTTGTCATGAGAATGATTTTATAGTTTTAAAACTTAGATTCAAAGTACTTATGTGTATTTACAATCATTTCAAACTTTTAACGTTGTCTGTGGGAACGTATTTAACACCAATATTTTAAAAGGGCTCTAGAGGTGATCCTGGCAATTACAGACTGGTAAGTCTAATGTCAGTACCGGGCAAATTAGTTGAAACAATAGTAAAGAATAAAATTGTCAGACACATAAAAGAACATAAATTGTTGGGCAAAAATCAACATGGTTTCAGTAAAGGGAAATAATGTTTTACTAATCTATTAGAGTTCTTTGAAGGGGCCAATAAACATGTGGACATAGTGTACTTAGATTTCCAGAAAGCCTTTGACAAGATCCCTCACCAAAAACTCTTACATAAATTAAGTTGTCATGGGATAAGAGGGAAGACCTTTTCATGAACTGAGAACTGGTTAAAAGACAGGGAACAAAGGGTAAGAATAAACAGTAAATTTTCAGAATGGAGAGGGGGTAACTAGCGGTGTTCCCCAAGGATCAGTCCTAGGACCAATCCTATTCAACTTATTCATAAATGATCTGTAGAAAGGGGTAAACAGTGAGGTGGCAAAGTTTGCGATGATACTAAACTGCTCAAGATAGTTAAGACTAAAGCAGACTGTGAAGAACTTCAAAAAGATCTCATAAAACTAAGGGTTTGGGCAACAAAATGGCAAAAGAAATTTAATGTGGATAAATGTAAAGTAATGCACATTGGAAAAAATAACTCCAACTATACATACAATATGGTGGAGACTAATTTAGCTACAACTAATGAGGAAAGAGATCTTGGAGTCATCGTGGATAGTTCTCTGAAGACATCCACGCAGTATGCAGCGGCAGTCAAAAAAGCAAACAGGATGTTAAGGAATCATGAAAAAAAGGGATAGAGAATATCTTATTGCCCTTATATAAATCCATGGTACGCCCACATCTTGAATACTGCGTACAGATATGGTCTTCTCATCTCAAAAAAGATATAGTGGCATTAGAAAAGCTTCAGAGAAGGGCAACTAAAATGATTAGGGCTTTGGAACGGGTCCCATATGAGGAGAGATTAAAGAGGCTAGGACTTTTCAGCTTGGAAAAGAGGAGACTAAGGAGGGATATGATCGAGGTATATAAAATCATGAGTGGTGTGGAGAAAGTGAATAAGGAAAAGTTATTTATTTGTTCCCATAATATAAGAACTAGGGGCCACCAAATGAAATGAATGGGCAGCAGGTTT